CCTGAGAAGCTGTACCCAGGCTGTTTTTGCTAGACACTGCTGCTTTAATTACTCCTCTGCCTAGCCAACGTGACGTTGATAGGTGTCAGGAGTCAGGTTATTTCCCCATTCTCTATATGGGACGGTGGCCTTGGGTAAGTTGTGTGCTGTTTGACTGGGGAAGGTCCCAACACAGATCAAGTCGTATTTGATTACAGCATGTAGTTTCCTAAGGGCAGAGCACTGAACCCTTAAAAACAAATTTTGCTTTGGTTTTTGCTTTTTCTTTTAATGTTGTTTTTCTTAAATGTATAGGTTTATACTTGCATCTTGAAATTAATGGGTTACAAATAGTTTTATTTTGTATACTTTATTGGTATTGACAGGTTCACTTACGTTTTTTCTTTGACATATTCTTTTTTAAAACAATTTTATTGAGAAGTAATTCAGACACCATACAATTCACCTATTTAAGTTGTACAGTTGAATGTTCTTCAGTATATTAGAAGGTTGTACAACCGTCAGCATAATCTAGTTTTAGATCATTTTCATCCCCCTAAAAAAAAAACCCATACCCATTAGTAGTCATGACTTATCCCTGCCTCCCTCTGCCTCCAGGCCTAGGCAACCTCCCATGGACTTTCTGTCTGTATAGATTTGCCTTTTCTGAACATTTCATATAAATGAAGTCATACAATATGTTGCTTTTTTTGTGAATGACTTTTTTCACTTAATATTTCAAATAAAGTTCATTTGTATTGCAGCATGTGTCAGTATTTCATTCCTTTTTATTGCCTAATACTGTTACATTCTACAGCCATACTGCATTCTGTATACTCATTAATCAGTTGATGGGCATTTGAGTTGTTTCCACTTTTTGGCTAGTATGAGTAATGCTGCTGTGAACATTTGTGTACAAGTGTTTGTGTGGACATATGTTTTCATTTCTCTTAGTTTATGCCTAGGAGTGGAATTGCTGAGTCATATGGGAACTCTATGTTTAACTTTTTGAGGAACTGCCAAACTGCTTTCCAAAGTGGCTGCACCAGCTTACTTCTTACCAGAATTGTATGAGGCTTCCAATTTCTCCAGGTCCTCTCCAACACTTATTTTCTCTGATTGTATCTAGTCTAGTGGCGTGAAGTGGTATCTTGTTGTGGTTTTGATTTGCATTTCCCTAATGACTAAGGATGTTGAGCATCTTTTAACGTGCTTATTTGTGTGTCTTCTTTGGAGAAATGTCTGTTCGTGTCCTTTGCCTATTTTTTTGATGGGGTTATTTTCCTTTTTTTATTGAGTTATAAGAGTTCTTTATATATTCTGTGCACAAGTCCGTTATCAGTTATAAGATTTGCAAATATTTACTCTGATTATGTCTTCTTTTTTTGATGGTGTCCTTTGAAGCACAAAAGTTTTTATTTTGATGAAGTCCAGTTTATCTATTTTTTTCTTTTGTTGTTTGTACTTTTGGTGTTCTAACCAAGAATCCTTTACCTGACTCAAGGCCATGAAGATTTACTCCATTTTAACTTGGAAGTTATAAAACTTCTATGAGACTGATAGTCTTAGCTATTACATTTAGATCTTTGATCCACTTTTATTTAATTTTGTATATGGCGTGAGGTAGGGGTCCAACTTCATTCTTTTACATGTGGAACTCCAGTTGTCCCAGCACCATCTGTTGAAAAGACTATTCTTTCCCCCACTGAATTCTTTTGTTATTCTTGTCAAATAGAAATATTCTTCCAAACCAAAAATCAGAACAGTTGGACGTTTTGGACAACTCAAAGCGTTCATGAAAGTGTTTGAACAATTAAATGTCTCTACCAAATGATGCGCTTTTCTTAAAGTTAACTCTGGAATTGGAAGGATGGTCCATCAGATTGTGGACAGAGAACAGCTGTTTCTGGTCATCCCTGGATGGAAGCAGGATGTTGAGCCATCTGCTGAAGAGCAGCTTTTCTGATGAGTCATCTTAAAGGAAGTTTGAAAATTGCTAGCTATCCTGGTAACTGTGCTGGGCAGCACTGAACCGTTTGTCAGATTCAGTGACTGCAAATAGCTGGATAACATGGCTTATTTACAGTATCATATTGGAGGACTGCTTTGGGAAGAACAGATGAAATGAGCAGTTTTGTGGTTGTTAGTGTAGTGCCTTGTAATTGGGTATTTCAGCAACTGAATAATGACAGACAGTTAATGGAGGTGATACTGCTGTGTTTGTTCTAAGGGAAAAACCCAACTCAGAGGCAATTGAGTGTTTCAAGCTGCCTAGATAATAGTGACATTGGAGGGAAAAAAGGAGCATTTTCCTTTGGACCTGAATAATAATAAATAAAAATTAGCATTGACAGCAGCAGTGGTAGTATTTTCACTGTAATGTCCTTGACGACTGTTTGTCTGCCTTAAATTTATTAGTGGAAAAAATTGGGGCATAGTTGGAAGTAGGAAGAACTGCTGAAGTAACTTAAAACTTTTGACTTCTAAGGTGAAAAAAAAACACGGGTTACAGTTGCATTCTTTTTTTTTTTTTCTTTTTTTTTTTTTTTTTAAATAGCTATTTTTTTTTTAAAGATTTTATTTATTTATTTTTCCCCCAAAGCCCCAGTAGATAGTTGTCTGTCATAGCTGCACATCATTCTAGTTGCTGTGTGTGGGACGCGGCCTCAGCATGGCCGGAGGAGCGGTGCATCGGTTCACACCCGGGATCCGAACCCGGGCCGCCGGCAGCCGAGCGCACGCACTTAACCGTTAAGCCACGGGGCTGGCCCTACAGTTGCATTCTAAAGTTATATCCAAAATATATTGCTTGTCTATCTTTAATTTTTAGAAAGCAAGTTTTTGTTTCTTGTTTAGTTTGTTTTTAAAGCACTTGTTCTGCTTTTCTCTTTTGCTGACCTGTCTTTTCCAAGCAGCAGAGCAAGCCAGATGCTGTCTCCATCAGTGTCCCTTACGAGTATTCCGATCATATTTGGGCCAAGAGGTAAAGTTCTTATCAACAGTGTAGAGGATAGTTTGTGCAACACTTATTTCTGGGTGATTCTCAGCATGTTTCAGAGCTTGGATTTCCTTCTGGTAGGTTGGAGGTGGGGTGTAATTCCAACTTTACAGCCAGGGCACTTGCTTTGAGGCATATTCAGGAGCCTGCAGCTCGTATCCCTGGACAAAGGGCTATGGTGAGCCCTGCGCCCTGCCCTGAGGCACCCCCGCTCCCTGAGCCCCTTTTGCTGTGACTGGAAGGTGCCTCTGGGCCGCTGGGATTCTTGGGAGGAGAACAGCAGCCCAGTGTCCTTGTTCCTTCCTGACAAGGTCCCTGCCCAGGGGTATGCTGGATTCTTAGATGTGGTTGGAAGTGGTTCAAGACCCTCTGGGAGGGCCGGCCCGGTGGCTTAGCGGTTAAGTGTGCGCGCTCCGCTGCTGGTGGCCCGGGTTCGGATCCCAGGCACGCACCGACGCACCGTTTCTCCGGCCATGCTGAGGCCGCATCCCACATACAGCAACTAGAAGGATGTGCAACTGTGATGTACAACTATCTACTGGGGCTTTGGGGGAAAAAAATAAATAAATAAAATTTAAAAAAAGACCCTCTGGGAACAGTTTATAAACTCTTTCGTGGTCTGCATCTGCCTCTTTTATAAAATGGCTGGTTTTAATAGAGAGTTATACACTAGTTTTAGCAAAACTTCAGCCATCAAGCGCAAGGTCCATTCAAATCAGAAGCAGATAAGTAGATCCATCCCACCTCCCTTCCTCCTTGAGCCTTGAGCCGGGCCCCGCCCCAGTCCAGTCCAGGCTGTCCTTCCCTCTGGCCCTGGTCTCTCCCTCCCTTTCCGGCTTATGGATGCCATCAACAGGGACTTTGCTCCTGATGGGGCTTAGATCCTGGCTCTGCTGTTAATGGCCCTGTGTGTGACCTTGGGGGAAACTTAAAGAAACTGAAACTCAGAAAGGTGATGTATAAAATGAAAGAGCTAGTGCCTGCCTTCTCAGGAGTCTGTGGGGCTCATGAAGAGTCCTAATATGTCAAGTTGCTGACCCTAGAGTGGCCCAAGGCAAGAAGAGTTTTCTTTAATGATCACTGTAAGTACATTCCTTTTGAACCTTTGGAAAGCCCGCTCACTCCTTTGTCAGAGCTCCTCCAGCTCAGCAGTGCTTAGGAAACGTGGTGTCAGGACCCTGCAGCCCTGTCTAGCATCAGACAGTTCTTGCTCTTCTTCTGTGGTCTCTCACACTTTTCCATCTCTTTGTCTTTCTTCCTACCATCTCTTCTGTTTAGAATGTCTGCTCTTTTCTCTCCCTTTTACAGCTAAATCCTTCTTGCCCTCCCAGGCCCAACCTGAAAACTGCAGCCTTCCGAAACCTTTCCTGGGCTCCTCCTCCCTCCACCCTGGAAAGAGCATGTCCTCCCATGGAGTTTGGTTGGCATTTTCTGTGCCTCTCAAGCACTCAGTGCTTTCTCTGTAATGTTTTTTTATTTATTTTTTTCTCTTCTGCTCAAAGATAAATCGTTTGAGGGTGAGCAAAATATTTTCCCAATTTCTCTGTATTCTCTAGAATACCGTTAGTCCTGCAGGTGCTCTGCAGTTTCCACGTAGATTAGAAAATATCTTTCTTATTTTGCAATTAATCCTAATCTAATGCTTAATTAATTAAACTTTGTTGCCGTTTCTATAATTGTTTTACACAGTATGTAAACTTAAAGAATTCACGTTTATCATTATATAGTAAGTTGTATCTTATCCCTCAAACTAGTTGTAAACTTGTAGGTGAAGACCATAAGCTCTGCAGCCGTGCTCCCGCCTCCACGTGTTGAGCATGGGTCCGGTACGTAGATGGTTGGTTTGGGTTGACTGCTCTCGCCCTGTCATGCTCTCTGAACACAGACTGGGCACTGAAGCAGGGCACACTGCCACAAATGCCTTTACAGAGTCTGTCTCCTCCAGCCAGAGTCTGCAAGGTTTTTTTCCAGTAGGCTTATCTGCTCAAATGCTCTTTCTAACTTTTCTTTTTTTCTTGTGCAGGCAGTCGTGCGTGCCTTCAGGACAAGAATGTTTCACTTAAGGACTTGTGCTGCTAAGTTGAGGCCGTTGACGGCTTCCCAGACTGTGAAGACATTTTCACAAAACAGACCAGCAGCAGCTAGGACGTTTGGGCAGATTCGGAGCTATACTGCCCCCGTTGCTGCAGAGCCCTTCCTCAGCGGGACTAGTTCGAACTATGTGGAGGAAATGTACTATGCTTGGTTGGAAAACCCAAAAAGTGTACACAAGGTAAGGCTCGTAGGAGCAGGTGTCTTCGTGTGTTTGATGTCTTGGCCTATTATTGGCTGGCCGTCCAGGTAAGTGCTTGTGTCTCAAGGAGCTGGAAGCCCTACCAACCCGAGTTCTCCGTGTCAGCCCAGCTTGGCTGTCAGCCCTGGCCCAACAGGAACTGCCTTCTCTGAAGGGACGTCCCCTCTCAGTTGACGTGCAGCTTGCTCGAGACCTTCCTCCACGGAACAGACAACATGTTTAACCCACAAGGATACAAAGAAGCCCTGGCACCACTTGCAGGATCTCACCAAAGCTGTTGTAGGCTGGAGACGCTGAAGAAAGGAAGCGAATGGAAAGAATGACCCTGCAGGACGCTCCTCCATCCCACTGTCTTAAGAACACCTTAAAGGGGCTGGCCCGGTGGCCTAGCGGTTAAGTTCGTGCATTCTGCTTTGGCAGCCCAGGGTTCACTGGTTCAGATCCTGGGCAGGGACCTACTCACCGCTCATCAAGCCGTGCTGAGGCGGCGTCCCACATAGAAGAACTAGTAGGACCTACAACTAGGATACACAACTATGTACTGGGGCTTTGGGGAGAAAAAAGAAAAAGAGGAAGACTGGCAACAGATGTTAGCGCAGGGCCAATCTGCCTCAAAAAAAAAAAAAAAAACTTAAAATCATCTCATGTAATTTCTGTATAAATACATTTTAGATGAGTATGCTCATGTTTTTCTCCTGTATTTGAATGTAAATTCTGGGAAGGCTTCCTTCTAATTTCTCTGTTACATGTAAGGCACTTCCTTATCAGAGCCTCTCTTTTCATGCATTTGCTTGACATAGGGCATGGCTAGTGGCAGAATTTCTTGGTAGTGTTTTGGCCGGTGATATTTATGGGTTTTGATAACCATTTCTTGGTTTCTAGGTCAGGCAGAGGGCCCAGTGCAGGAGCTGGAGGCTGGGTCCCCAAGTTGCTCAGGCTCCTTGTGTCCTGTTTGCAGGGCGTGGGGAGATTTGAAGGAGGCAATATGTGTGAGGTACTCAGTGTCTGCACAGAAGTGCCCAATGGAGGCTGACAGTCATCACTGTTGATTTGGCCTTTTTTTTGCTCTTGAATCTTGGGGTCTTATCATCAAAAGGCTACCTGCTTCTTTTGGACCCCTGAGAATCAGCTTTACCCTGATGTGTTAGTGACATTTAAGATTAGAGACATTGGTGTGACTGCTGGAGCCACCAGCCCTATTACATCAGAAATGTCACTGTGTCACAATGCCACACACAAAGTCGCGTCTGAACCTCATTTCAGCAAACGAGGGCATCTAGCTGGATCCTTCCCTGTTTCTGTGGCAACCTGGAAGCCATCTTGCTCCCTGAGCAAGGTGAAACCTGGTTTCCTGTGAGAGGAGATCTGGGGACTGCCCAGAAAGAAGTGCCCTGTGAAAATGGCCTTGCCTGTGATGGTGGATGTTAGAGGTTTCTGAAGACAGTAGCTGCATGGTTATCTCTAGAATAAACTTAGCCCAGAGGTTTTGGAATCACACTGTCATCTCGTGCCCAGGCCTGTCCCTTGCCTGCCTTTTCCAAAACATACCTCTTTGTGGAATCAATCAAGTCTTCTTAAGTTATATTTGGTTTTAGAGAGAATAGCACCTGAGAGAGCACGCCTTGTTGTACACAGGGTACCAGAGATCTCGGCTCAGGACATCTGTGCGTGAAGCCTGGCATCGTGGGATTGGGTGGGTGAAGAAGCACACTGTGGCTCTGTGGTGCAGAGCTCTGGAAAGTGGGGCTGAAGGGGTGAAGCTCCTGCTGTGGAAGCTTTTTGAAGAGATTTTTTATGGGGGTGTAATAGACCAGGTATAAATGGTGCCGATTTTCCTTGAAAAGTTTTTTTTTCCGTTCCTTAGATTTATTACTATTATCATTATTGTTATTTGTATTATGATTATTATTATTGCTTCTTTTTTTTTTTTATTAAGACTTATTCTTTAGAGCAGTTTTAGGTTCACAGCAAAATTGAGGGGAGGTACAGAGATTGCCCATATACCTCCTGCCCCACACATGCAGTCTCCCCACCATCAACATCCCCCACCAGATGGTACGTTTGTTTTAACTGATGAACCTACGTTGATGTCATTGTTACCCAAAGCCCATAGTTGACATAGGGTCAGCTCTTGGTGTTGTACATTCTGTGGTTTTGGACAAGTGTATGATGACGTGTATCACCATTATAGTATCCTACAGAGTATTTTCACTGCCCTAAAAATCCTCTGTGCTCTGTGCTCTGCCTATTCTTTTTTTTTTTTTTTTGTGAGAAAGACTAGCCCTGAGCTAACATCCATTGCCATTCCTCCTCTTTTTGCTGAGGAAGATTGGCCCTGGGCTAACATGCGTGCCCATCTTTCTCTACTTTATATGGGATACCACCACAGTGTGGCTTGACAAGTGGTGCGTGGGTCTGCACCCGGGATCCGAACCTGTGAACCCCGGGCCGCCAAAGCAGAGGGCGTGAACTTAACCACTACGCCACCGAGCTGGCCCCCCTCTGCTTATTCTTGAAAAGTATTTTTACCACATGGTGTCAAGGAAGGTAGCACATGATGGCTGGGAGGCACTGAGAGGTTCTTGGGCTGTGTTGGGGTGGTCACAGTGTCATTTGTCCTGTGGGTGGGACAGCACAATGAAAGGTCTACTGACAGGCACAGATGCAGTCTGCTGGGGAAGAATCCAGGGTGAAGATCGGGTCCTTGGGCTCTGGGGGTCATAGCGAGCACCTCATTGAGAAATTCTGTGAGGGGTATGCGTGGAGAATCTCAAAAAGGGGCATTTCAGTTTAATAAGAGATTGCATACAGGTTGGCATCTTTGGGCCAGATTTTATGCACTGGTTTCTGTTGCCCGGATTCTCCAGGGGACACCACGTCTTCTAGAGGGAGAGGGACAGGATGATGTAAATCAGTGGACTTAGATCAGTCCCCCTCCTCTGCCATCCCAGGAAAATGGAATTGATCCCCTTTCCAAGTTGAATTAGGCCTAATACCTGATGTATGCTTGTTTTTCGAGGGACACAATCCAGAGGTTTCATCAGATTTTCAAAGGCATTTGTGACCCACGAAAGGCCTTAGAAATAGTTGACTTAAGAATGCTTCATTTATGCTCTTGTTTTAGAGCAAATAGTTTAGGTAGAAATAATAAATTAGATTTTAAGAATTAGATTGATCATCATCTCCTATTTCTGCATCAGGTAAGGCATGTTGAGCTTCTGGTCCTGAGGGCTGATGCTGTCATCCTTCTCTCCCCTCCTTTTGCAGGGAGCTTATGGAGAACTGCTAGGACTGAACTTCTTCATATCTGGCAGACACAGAACAAATTTAGCATCTCCCCCTTCATGCCTTCTGCACTCTGCTTTCATATTACTTTTTAAACTTTTTATGATATTTTCAAACATGCAGTAGAGAGAAGAGTCTTAAAGGAACCTCCTTGAGGAGACCCATCACCGAACTTCAGCAGGTCTCCACAGTTTGCCAGTCTAAGTATCTATTCCTTTCCTCACTCACTTTTCTTGTTGTTGGTTTGTTTTGGGTGGGGGCCCACTGGAGTAATTTAAGGCCAATCCCAGACCTGACTCATTTCTGCCATAACTGTACTGATGTCAGGCTCTAACTAACAAGGGAGTGTGTTCTTAACCACACCCAACAAAACTAACAAGATAATTCTGTATTATAATCTTAGTCTATATTCAGCTATTTGTGATTGTCTTAAAGCTGCCTTTCACATTTGGCCTTACAATTTACAGCTGGTTGTTATATCCCTCTTTTTAAAGAAAACTTATTTTTAAATGTTTAATTGTGAAAACTGTGCTTGTGGTAAAGTAATTGAGCAATTCAGAGCTGCAAGCCCTTGAGTGCTCTGGGTGCCTCTGCGTCCTTGCCTACTGCCCAGTTAACTGGTCGGCTCAGGGTCTTCCTCTGCACCCTGTCTTGCCATCCCTCTCCTCCTCTTAATTCCATAGTATGGTCCTCCTAGACCATTGTCTCTTCCAGTCTGGCCTCTGCACTCTAGTCTTAAACACCTTGTCAAGTGCAGCTCACTACTTGACCCCATTAGGAACCTTCAGCCAGGGCTTGTTCTGTCAGCATACAAAGCCCTCCCTCAGGGTCTCAGCCATGTTGGGGACAAGTTAGATGGCAGCATCTTATTTTCATTTACACCTTAAAAGCATTTAGGATCAAAGCTAGATTGCCCTTGTTAGTGTTTAAAACAAACAATTAAGTGAAAACTGCTGAGCCCTTGCCAGGCTGCATTTGTAGAGTGGAGGCAGGTGCCCACCCACAGGCGTAGCTTGGTGTCAGCCCTGCCGGGGAGGATGCAGGGTTGGTCCCAGTGCTGGAGCTGGTGGAAGAGCCCTCCGTTCTCCTCTGCCCCGCAGTGCCCTCTGCCGTGGTCGTTGGGCTTTCCACAGCCGTCCTCAGTGCCTCGGAGCTCACTTCCCCTGCCTGGGCCTTCTGAGTGACTTCTGCCCACCTCCTAAAGCCTGTCTTCCTCTTGTTAACCGAGTCCATTTCTTCTCATGCCTCCTTTGGGCCAGCTCCTAAGTGTAATAAACAGCTGTCTGGTCCCGCGTGGCCGCTGCAGGAGCACCCTGTGCAGCACTCGAGATGGAGATCCCAGACTCTCAGTCCCCCCTTGTGGAGCTTGACCACGCTGCCCTTCTGGCCCAGGCAGTTCTGCTTTTTCCTTTTATGCTATGAAACAGAATCCTGTTATTTTCTGTAAATGAAGCAGATAAGTGGAGGAAAAACAGACGCACAACCTCCCCAGTACAGGGTGACATGTGCGTTTTCACTCTGCAGCTTTGAAACTGCCGTGGCTGCAGTTTGCCCCAGTTCTGTGCTAGCCTCAGGGGGGAAGAAACATACGTATATTTAAGCCCACGGTATACTTACTGGGATTTCAATGATCAAGGCTGTTAAACAGCATTCTGAAGTTGCCCCTTGATGATACTCAGCTCCCTACATCAGGA